GTGGAGTGTGAAGTATGTGTGTTTGTGTTTATTTTCATGGTCATGATGTGCACTGAAGATGGTGTTTGATTTCATTGTACAAGGTGCAATGACAATAAAGTAAAATAAACTAAAACAGTCAAGAGGAATGGATCTTGACTCAAGAGAAACTATCTTACAATCCACCACATTAGGTAAACTAAGGAAGAGAAAGGCAGTTCATACATGTTTATCATAACTATTTGCTGTTTGTGTACCAGTTCTTCCAATGAGAAGAGATCCAGACTGGTCTAAACAACACTTCTAACTCCCTTCTTCAGCAGTACCTGTTTGAAAACTTTTAAGAGTGCAATACACCGAGCGTTGGAGCCATTAATGATGCCCTGAGAGTATTGGAGGCCAAGACGCACCACTGCAGGGTGGATGGTGGAGACCGGGATGCTGCAGGTGAAAAGATTCTGCGTTATTACATATCATTTCAACACTCCCCAATAAAGCTGACACTTTTTGCACATTATCCATCATACCAAAGCCCAACTACAAGTTACTTTCAAGAAAGAAAATATTACTCTTGTTCATCTTTTTCTCCCATCTTTTTGAAATACTATAAAGGAGAGGTGATTTGAATAAAATTATAAAGAATGATGAATATAGATCCTGAAATAGCTGAAGAGCACTTTCAGAGGGAGAAAAGGGGGAAGATAAACTTTAACCAAAGCACTTTGCCTTAAAACTTTGTACTAGGATGGAATCTAAGCACAGAAACCTCTCAAGGCAGGGCAGCAAGAACAGAGCTCCAATCTAACCAGGCCAATTTCATTGAGTGAAGAACATGGTTCTTGGTTTTGTGACCTCTATTCTTCCTTCTTTTCTCTAGGAACAGCCTAGAAAAATGTCCTCACAACATCATTTATGAACATTTCAAAGTGCTGTGATAAATCCCCTTTAGATTCAATGCTTTTCTCTTGGTTCACAGGCACTCACCTCATCTGTTGTGTCAGCAACTCTTTGCGACTGTATTGATGCAAATGGGAGAAGAGACTAACTTTGGCACCATAATCTGGTCTCATAGGGACCTGTAGACATGGGGGGAAACCAGTCTAAACATGGAAGGCGATCAATCAACCATATATCATCACCACCTGTGGTGAGCTGCCTCTTAATAGGAATCTTTCACAATTTTCCTGCCCCATAGGTACTTTAATTTGTGCAGTGCTTTTTAAGTTATTATGTCTCTTTGAATTAAGATCATTTTAATCAAGACCAGTTAACAAAATGAAGCATTCTGACAGGAACCCAGATCACTGCGCCCAATATACTATTTCTTAAAAGCCGTAATGGTTAAACCGAAGACCAGGAATTTCAGAAAGAAGCTAAAATCTTGCAAAAAGCAAGGTGAGAGAAAAGTGAGGGGCTACCTCAATAGGTTTGGACTTCAGCAATTCTCGACACAGCAAACCCTGCTTTATAGTTTCTTAGCCACTTCTAGGTGAGCTGGAGAAAATGTAAACATTTTCATAACTCCACAGACCATACAAACTTGTGTACAAAAGAGGAGGGTTACAGTATATGTTAATGGAAAAATAACAGGACAATTCAGGCATTTCTTTGGGGAAAAAGGCCCTACCTCTCTTCTATTGTGGCAGATAAATCAAGGTTGGCTACTATTTCTCTAAGAAGCCAAGCAAAAGTCACATTTGATTGGGTGGCTGTATAAATGATTTGATTGTACTAAATCAATCAAGAAACATGCCTGTAAAGGTACCTTTTGTCATCTTCATTATCCTCATTTATTGAACTTATATGTCTCCCAAGTCCCAGAGACTCTTCACGTTTTCATTATTGCCTCTTCCACTCAACCACAAAGTGTTTGGTTTAGTGTTAAATCTTAAAAAAATAGATTGTAAACAACCCAGGGATGAACCAGGGGGAGATCCTCAAGTTGGCTTTTCTTTGAGGATGTTAGATAGGAATTTTGTGGCCGCTTTAACTTAGTCCTCAGCACTAAAAAAGCAGTTGAGCATAATGATCTCAACAACACTTCCATTCTCAGTCTTGAAGCAGACTAAAGAAACACAATTGCTACCTGCACATAGTATGTGGTGTCCAAACTAATAATAGCATATAATATATATTTATTACTATATAACATAATATACAATTATAACATACAGTACTGTTGATGAATGTTTCACACAACATACACACTGAATCACAAGCTGATTGAATCTATGGTGCTGAATGAAGCCAACTTATGACTCTACAGGTAATCCTCAATTTAAGACTAATTGATCCCAGAATTACAGTTAAGTCATTGGGGTTGTAAATTGATGCATCAGGTGACCAGACCAGATTTTGGGAAGGCAATAGGTGAACATCAGAATCATTAAGTGAATCAATTTTACTGAATTGGTGGTTTTTGAAGGAAATGGGAAATAAAATGTCAGAAACCAGCAAAAATGTTACAAATTGGAGTCACGTGACTCTGAGATCTCTGGTTGTAAAAGCTTGTTGCCAAGCTCTCAAAATGTGATTGCATGACTTCAGCAGGATGTGGACATTGTAATTTCAAAAACTGGCAGTAAAAGTACCTTTGAATTGTCATTGTCATCAGTCCAGACCTACTTGTATAACTTATTTACCTCCACCTCTCCCAGCCACTGTTCCTCATGAGGACTGGAGTCCTACCTGCTGACGCTCCAACTTTTTGGCTAGCTTTTTTTGGGCAGCTGGATCATCCACCTGCACATGTTCTGGGAGCCTCTTGACAGCTGGGGAGAGAAGTGGGCAAAGCTCAGAAGATGAAACTTTCTAGCTGGCTTACCAGCCACATTTTCTTCAGGACAGAGCCTCACCTGGCTGGGCTTCAGTGGGTCCTACCCGAGGCTTGGGAGGCACGGCTGTTTGACTAGGATCAGCCTTCCGAGCTTGCTTCAACGCCCGGTCGGCCTCCTGCTTTGCCCGCCGCTCAGCTCGCAGCTCAGCCTTACTTTTGCCCGGCCCGGTCTGCTCGCCTCCACAGGCTTTGTCAGGAGGACCCGGCGTGGTAGGTTCCGGTCCTAAACCCAAAGGAGGAGGAGGAGGAGGGGGGGTAGAAGATGACAGGGTAAGCGGAGGCCAGCGCTGGTTTTATACCCCGGCCGTCCATTCCGCCCGGGAACTCCGACGACGCGTTTCCCTCTGCAGCTCAGACTGCGAAAAGAAGGGAGACCCCGCCCCCAACCCTCTTTCTTCGCCCCTCTGGCACCTGGCGGAGGCAGCTGCCTAGCAGGCGTGGGACCGGGGTGGGTGAGCCCATCGGGAGGCGGCTTGGGCTGCTTCTCCGCTTCGCGGCGCTTTTTCTTCTGCTGCTTCTTCTCTTTCCGGAGCTGCAACTTGTCCTCCGCGCTGGGCGCCTGCACGGAAGGTAAAGGGGAGAGAAACACGAGGGGGAGAAGGAGAGAGCTGCCGCCACACCAGTCAGGTGCTCCTCCGATCCCGCCACGCGCCCCTTTTGTCGAAGTACCTGGCCGCGCTCCGGGGCCTCGCAGCTCCCCGGCTCCGCCATCGCCACTGCTCTGGCTCCGCCCCTGACCTCAGCTGGTTGCGACAGCGCCCCCTGCTGCTCAGAGCAGGATCGGCAGGGAACACCTCGCCTTCCTTCCACTGTCCTAGGCATCCAAGTGGCTTAGCTGTGGTCTCGCGGAGGACGGGGAGAAGTTGATTGGGCAAGGGGCCGAACGGAGCCACGCCCTCTTTTGTCCAGCGGGCTGTAGTGGTGGTTGGTGGGGAAACAAATACATGGGAGCGCGGGGCGGGTCGCAGCTCGCCCCATGGGTGTCCGCGAACCGAAAGGTTTGCGCTGGCAATTGTGCTGCTGCGATGCGGAGGATAATTGCTGATGGGCAGGCATGTCGGCCTCGCTCCACAGCCCACACCACGCAAATGCTGGGGCTAATACAAGGGTCTTCAAACTTGGCAAGTTTAAGACTTGTGGACTTCAACTCCCAGAATTCCTGTACTAACATGACTGGAGGAAGAAATCTGGGAGTTGAAGTCCACAAAGCTGTCACATTTGAAGACCGCTGGGCTAATACCTCGCAATGGCTGTTTTCGGCTTTGTGCAGTACCAAACGAAGCCTATTTTGCTGCTCCCCACCAAAGACAGCCGCCGCATTTCTACGATTTGCTAAAGGAGCCACTGCACCGACGCCGTTAGCATCTTCGGTGTGTGGTGCAACCTACTCACACCGATCAACCGGGCTCTCAGGCCCGAGCTGATAGACGGAGATACCTGTCGGTCCCTTCAACCTTGCTTATTGCCAGTAGCGGCTACCCCGATTACCACGTATATGGGGGGGGGAACCAGATGGGGGCTGCAAAACTCCGGACGACCATTGTTTGGACGGGTTTTTGCAGGCCGGTAGCCCTACTCGGTCCGTCCGTCCCTAATGGAGGAGTTCTTTCCGCTGCTAACCCACCTCGCTGGACGGACAGCCTAGGTGAGGAGAGAAAAGGGCAGGGGGCGACCCAGATACCCTGTCCGTCCGCGGGGTAAAGCAGGTTCCAAGACTACTTATTGGCCAATATTTCCCTCGGGTTGTACTTGTATCGTTTAACTCAGGGGTCTCCAAACTCGGCCACTTTAAGACTTGTGGACTTCAACTTCCAGAATTCCTCCTCCAGTCATATTAGCTCAGGAATTCTGGGAGTTGAAGTCCACAAGTCTTAAAGTGGCCGAGTTTGGAGACCCCTGGTTTAACTTCTATGTGCCACGACCTGCCTTTGGGGGAGTGGGGGGCGGCGGCGGTTCAGCTCCCTTATTCCAAATTGTGGGGGGGTTCCAAACGGTCGAGGTAAAAGAGCACCTGGGCAAGACGGAAGCATTTTCGCTTTCAATATTCCCTTCTCTGACCAGCACTTGGTCTTTCCTGGGTCAGACCATCCACGGATAGGGCCGGGGAGATGACCAGCAGCCAAAAAAAGGGTGGGGGGAAGAGACGAGTTTTCTCCGGTCCTCCTCCTTCCGTTACGCCCACATTGGTGCCTCCCTCCCTCTCTCTCCGCCCGCAAGATGGCGGCTACATCGGAGTCCAGTTCCGGCCCGAGTCGAAGGTAGCAGCGACGACAGCAGCTGCAGACGGAGGTGGAAGCGGCCATGCATTTCTCCATCCCCGAGACCGAGACCCGCGCCGGGGATGGCGGCAACGCTGCGGCCTACGTGGCGAGTGTCAAGCCCCTGGAAGCGGGGCGCAGAGTTCCCAGGGCTCCCTCCCCCCACCTTCGGATTAAACCCTAACATCTGGAAAGGGCTTCGAACTGGGATTTACACCCTGGGCGACTTGCTCGGGTGCCTTTTGGCTGCTTCTCTGCAGCAACTGTAGGCGCCTTCCGGCTCTTCAGAAGAATCCGGAGTGGGCGGAGGGGGTGGGAAGGGCGACCGGTTGGAATGAGCGGTTTCACTTCTCCTCCGCAAAAACTCCGCTCAGTCTGCCTCTCCCCTCCGCGCTGAGTCTTGAAGCCAGATACGGCAGGCGCCAGGATGGGCCCCGGGGAAATGGTAGCCGTCGTCTGTGAGGCAGCCACGACCCAGATCTCGGTCTCCTCTCTTTCCAACTTAAATTCAAATCAAATCTATATGACTTAGGACTCCCCAAGGAGGACGCAATGGCCACAACAAGGAGAAAAACGAGGGGGAAGTATAGTAGAGGCACTCCGGCACTGAAGAGCACTTCTTTCAGTTAGAGTGTCTCTCCTTGAATTATTCTGGGTTTTTTTCCTGGTTAAAAAGGCTTTGGGCGTTTCAGAACAATTCATCTTTTGTTTCTGTTAAAAAGGCTTTGGGTGTTTCAGAGAAAGAATAATAAACACTGTTTTTAAGAAGATTGCTGTTGACAGACTTTTGTCATGGGAAAGATTCCTTGCATAACCAGGAATTACAGATTCTATAGCTACTCCTGGATACTATGTCCAGGAGCAAACCCAGATATCCCTTCACTGTAGGTGCAATTCATCTTTTGTTTCTGTTCTATACAGAAAGGTTACTTTGAATAAAGTGCAAACCTGTAGAGCTTAATAAATGGGCTTATACATCTTATCTTACCGATACTCATGTCTTTAATTTAGGCTTGCAGGTACTTGTTTAGTTCCATGTCATCAAATCTCGGTTACAACATTTAGTTTTTTCAATGTTATTGAAAGGCATATTTATTTCAGGCTTGGATGTTACTTCACTAAGATTTATAATTTCTGCTTCATGCAGATTTTTTTGCATTGCATGGTAGATAACCTAAGAGACTGTTTTTATTTCAGTACCTGCAACCTCTTCTTATTTTAGGCAGTTACCTCCCCTTGTAGAAATAACAGGTAGTGTTCATGCCTTATAACTGATTCTTAAGGCCCAGAAAAGGATTTGTGAATTCTTAGTTTAAAAGACCTGTTCCCTCCTTGAATCTTCATGCAGCTATGGAATTAGTACTTTGTGATTCATACCAGATAGTACCGTTTCCCCATTGTATCTCTGGGAATGGGATAGCTTAAGGGCTTTCTCATAAACAGATTCCCTAATGATGCCTTTTCCTTCTGTCTTCAACAGGCTTACAGCATTCATGTGAATGGTGTTCTGCATTGCCAAGTGCGATACAGCCAGCTGCTTGGTTTGCATGAACAGGTGAGGCATGTAAGAAATTGCCAGAATTGCTCCTTTGTGGAAAGCTAGCAGTATTTCATTAAAAGCCTTGCTCCTAGAGTAGTGTTGCATTAATTCAATTGATTTATGTAACTAAGAAAGGCAGTTTGGTCTAGTGGTTAAGGACCAGTCTAGAAGCCAGGAGATTGTTAGTTGTAGTCAGGGGTGGGATTCAACTGGTGTTACTACCGGTTACTACTGGTTCGGTGACGTTTTACACACTGTGCGCATGTGTAAAAGACCTTAAGCTGTGCCACCTGGAAAGCTGAAAAGCGTCGCATGCGGGTGTGCAACATTTGAAAAGCCTCTTTTTTTCCTGCTTTTTCAACCTCAGCTGTGCCATGCAAAGCAGCTGAGGTTGAAAAGGCAGGAAATAAAGGACAGGTAAGAGGCAGGCGGGTGGGCCAAACAGCAGCAAATACAGAACCAGGTCGGTGTCTGCTGCGTTTCAGAGCTACTGGTTCTATAGAGTTGGGCAGAACTGGTAGCATCCCACCCCTGGTTGTAGTCCCCTTGTAGGCAAGAAAGCCAGCTGGGTGGGGTGACCTTGGGTCGTTCTTTCTTTGTCAACCCACAACATCAGGCTTGGGTGACAGTCTGGTTGGTCAATTCCTGTTATAGCCAGTGGTATAGCCACATGTTGATTTGAAAAAAAGGAAAAACCTATACTTGCAGAAAAATACTAGGAAGAAAAAATGGGTGTATTTATCTTATTACCAAAATTCCGGTAGTAGCAAAATGGAATTTTGCTGCCTGAAGATGATCTCTGCTTTTCTTTCTGCAGCTAAGGAAGGAATATGGAGCTAATGTGGTGCCAGCTTTTCCTCCAAAAAAGATCTTCACACTCACCCCAGTGGAAGTGGAGCAGCGGCGGGAACAACTAGAAAAATATATGCAAGCAGGTAAGTTTTGTTGGGTAAATCAAGGAAAAATAGTATGCGTGCATTTGCAAGTAGGTATTCTCTATGTATAGGGAGTGAGCTTTGGCTGAAAGCAAAAAAGCTGATGTTACCTTCTGTTTATTTATTTAAAATATTTATATAGCCACCCAGCCTGTACCAAATTCTTGAGTGCTCACAACCAAAAAATAAAACACCTATTTACAATAAAAATATTAAAACCATAAGTATTAAAAAGCTGGTATTATTTCTGTTACTAATCCATAGTTTCTGTTATTAATCCATAGTACGGCAGGACCCCTTGTTAGGAGGTAGTGAGATCTTCAATAGCTTTCTGCGAAAAGCCCAGCAGGTAAGGAGGTGGGTAAATGCAGAGGACAAAATATATGCCAGGTGGAGAAAATGATTGTAGTCCTGTGTATTTCCAGGAAACCCAGCAGATCCCAACTGAAGAGGTACAACTAGATGTGCTCTTATCCAATGGGCAGAAGGTGAAAGTCACAATTCTTACCTCAGATCAAACAGAGGATGTTCTGGAGGTGAGTCTTTCCCAGAAATAAGAACGGCTCATGCTGAGAAAGAAATGGAGGAGAGATTATATGCTAGTACTTTCTCTCCTTTCCTTACAGTTAAGATTCAGTGTGACGGATTACTTTATTCCAATGGCCTGTACCAAGTTCCAAGAACTAATGGCCTGTACCAACAAGCCTTCCTAGAGCGGCAATATTTAACGTAGCCTTTCCCTAAGTTGCTGTTAAGAGGAAAGAGTTCAACGTCTGACTTATCTTTCCATTGTTTGTAGGCTGTGGCCTTGAAGTTGGACTTGCCGGACGATTTGATTGGCTACTTTCATCTCTTCCTTGTGCGGGAAGCCAAGGATGGAGCATTTTCTTGTGAGTTAACCTCTTTGCTGCACTTGCTATAATGGCAGAGAAAAACCAGCCTGCCTGCCAGGAAAGGCGGGCAGGCATGTGTTTCTGTCTGTGTGTCTAGGGAGAAGTTTGAGGTATGCTGCATGATTTGCTCTGAACTGTCTCATCTTTTACAGTCATCCGGAAATTGCAGGAATTTGAGCTTCCTTATGTATCAGTCACCAGCCTCCACAACCCCGAGTACAAGATTCTGCTGCGCAAGAGGTAAGAAATGTGCAAAGGGTAGGAGTCAATATTATCAATCCCAGTCAAATAATAGTTGAGTGAAGACCCATTAATGGCTTGCCTCTTCCATCTCTTTCCTCTTCCTCCACCCCTAGCTACTGGGACCCTGCCTTTGATGATGATGTCATGGAGCAGCGGGTAGGACTAAATCTGCTATATGCCCAGGTCAGGCACTAAGGTTGAGTGACAGGGAGGAAGGTGGGAGGTGGGATAGCAAGCAGCAACTTTTCCTTCTTCTCCTCCATTTCTGTTTCTCATAGACAGTTGCAGATATTGAACGGGGCTGGATCCTTGCCAATAAGGAACAGCACCGTCAGCTTAAATCTTTACAGGAAAAGGTCTCGAAAAAAGAGGTAGGTTTTCATTTTCCTTTACCTATGCAGCGTGAGTCAGTCTACATTACCTTGTTTCACTCCCAGCTAGTTGCAATGAAATTTATACATCCAAAAATCACAAGCTTCCCTGTGAATGTTCTCTCTTTTGTTATAGTTCATCCGCTTGGCACAAACCCTCAAATATTATGGCTATCTCAAATTTGACCCTTGTATTACGGATTTCCCTGAGAAAGGCTGTCATGTCATTGTTGGAGCAGGCAATAGTGAACTGAATTTCCAGGTCAAGCTGCCCAATGACCAGATCAAGGAAGGAAGTTTCAAAGTGACACGAATGCGTTGTTGGCGAGTTACTTCCTCGGTGAGCTAACACATGAATCAGATCGTGTCTTTACCTTGTTGAGGATGGCCTGTTCTGCTTTGAGGGAGGAATACTTTTTTCTGTGTCTCTCTTCTGTTTGGGAATTTAAGAGGCTGGAGAAGTAGCTTTGGCACTTACAGGCAAACCAAGAGTTTTCTAGCCTCAATATTCCCCTCCTGCTGCTTCGCCAATAAGCAATCATTAGACTGCTCTTTTTTAGGTCCCTGTGCACAATGGGACATCAGGCACAAGTTCTGGCAAGTCAGAGGTGAAATTGGAACTAGCTTTTGAGTACCTGATGAGCAAGGATAGACTGCAGTGGGTCACCATTACCAGCCCACAGGTAGGAAGTATGTGCATGGGGGGTGGGGTGGGTGGGATGAATCCTTACATTTTGAACTTTGAAACTAGTAAACTGCACGGGTATCTGATCCACTACCCCACTCAGTGCAGGTTCTTTTACTGATCAAATCTATTCTCCTTACAAATAATGCACTTCGAATATCACAAATGGAAACAAGCTCAATTTTATTCTTATTTGCTTCCCAATCATAACTCCAGTATCAAATTTGTTTTTTCCTATCCTAAGTTTACAAAATCAAGGCTCCATCAGTTGGGATAATACTGCACAGAAGAACATTTCTCTCTCATATCTTAGGCTATAATGTTGAGCATCTGCTTGCAGTCCATGGTGGATGAGCTGATGGTGAAGAAATCTGGAGGAAGCATACGTAAGGTGAGACTCAGGCTTCTTATCCCTTTGGTGGAGATGGCTAGGTCAAATTTATTAGGATGGGTGCCTCCAAGCATCTCAATACTCTCTTCTTTCATAGATGTTCCGCAGACGAACCATTGGAGCCTTACAGCGTTCAGACAGTCAGCAAGCAGTGAAATCGCCTCCTCTTTTGGTAGGCAGATCCTGTCATCTCTGCTTCCTACTTTTCCCTTCCCTACTTTTCCCTTTCTCCTTTAACATACCTGTATGTTTTGCTAGGATTCCCCTGATGGTAGTAGGGACCCTGTTACAAAAGTCTCGGTGAGTAATTCTCCTTCTTATTCTTATGGACAAATGTGATCTACCATGGGGCATGGCTCTTGCTAATTTGCAGCTCTTCTCTCCCTTATCCAGAGCAAATTGGGCTCTGTCAGCTTACGAGCCATCAGCCATTCCAGCTCTTCGAATGACATTGGGGCGAATGATTTCCATGGCAACTATGCCTTTGAGGGCATTGGCGATGAGGACCTTTAAATGCCCTGCTTTACCCAAAAGATCTTTGTGGAATGTATGACCTGCTTGCGGGTTGATCTTGATGTGCCTCAGCCCCCAGCTGGCTGTGTGTCCTTTGCCAGAGTCTCTTGTCTGCAGAGGCAATTTGCAGAGCTGACTAGTAAGCTTCAGCTTCATACATGCCAAACTAGGGTAGAGTGGACATTTGCACAAAGAGCCAACACAACTCTAATGCTCACGGTAGACTTTTAACTATAACCGCTAGACTTGTAATCTTGTTTATCTACCCGCTGTTTACATTTGAACATTAACACATTTGTGACAATGATTAAATAAATCATGATTGGAAACACATCCTGTGAGCCCTTCTCTCTCCTGCATCCAATTTCCTGCTTCAACATCTTGGCACTAGAGCCGCAAAAAATGATAAGGTAACAGTTATGGACACAGTGGAGGCCACATTACTGAGACCGTGTTGTCTGTTTTCCTCTCCTGCTGGAAATAAGATGGCGAAAAGAGGGCATAACAGTATGCCTGCTGTAAACATGCTCACACAGGCCAGTTCAGCAGAAGCACAACTGCACTGTGATCAGGTTTGCCAGTTAGTCTCCAGCTGCTCTTGCCAGCCAAAATAAAGCCAGATAAGAAAACAGTTTAATGCATTAATACACCATATAAATTACACAGATTCAAGCAGCAACCACAATTAAAGGACTAAAGAGGGGAGGCACAAAAAGGACAAAAGAGGACAAAGGAGCTCCTCTCTGCAGGTTTCAGCTGTCCCACAGAGCGAGAGTTTCAGAGAACGGTCTGCAGAGCAGATGCCTTTTTCTTCCTATGGACAGAAGCACTGGACAGGGCAAGGCCCCGGGGTGCTTTTCAGCAAAGGAAACAACACTTTCTTAAAAAGTGAGGTGGTACTGCTGCTCCTGCAAGTACATACAGCTCCTTCTCCTGCACATCCCAGTCAATCTTTTACATAGGCTTGACAGCAGGCAACTATAGAGTCAGAAGCTCAAGGAGTCTTTCAGCATCATTAGGTCAGGCTGCTGTCTGGACCAGGCCCTCCTTCCTCTGCCAGGCCCTGCCCGTGCACCTTCTGGTGACGCTTGTAATTGTCCCAGTGGCCAGTAGTGTAGGGGCAGATGCGGCACTGAAAGGGCTTTTCACCTGTATGCCGCAGCATGTGGCGCTTGAGGTTCATGCTCTGGTTGCATGAATATGGGCAGAGACGGCAGCGGAAAGGCTTGTCCCCCGAATGGATGCGTCCATGGCGCTTGAGGTTGGCAAGATTGCCACAGGCATATGGGCATAGGGGGCACTTGTAGGGTTTCTCACCGGTGTGCACCCGCTGGTGCCGCTTGAGGTTGTCCAGATGGGCTGAGGCATATGGACAGAGCGCACAGGCAAAGGGCTTCTCTCCACTGTGTGTCTTCATATGACGGGCCAGATGGTTAGGATAGGTGGTAATAAAAGGGCATAACTGGCAGGAGAAGCCTTTTGGTGAGGCTGGTTCAGCCCCCAGCACTGCCAGGCTGCAACGCCCACATACTGGCTCACCCAAGCCTTCGTCAGCTTGTAGCACCAATCCACATGCCCTGCACGTGAACGGAAAGAGCAGCTCAGGAAGAACCGTATTAGAGTCTTCCGCCTGCAGAAATGGGGAGCTAGGCAGCAATGGTGGTGGCTCTGTGGAAGAAAAATAGAAATAAGCAGAAATGCTCTAAACAGATATTACTGGAGCCATATGTAACTTACTTCTTTCACTGTCATACAGCGCACAGGCCAATTTGAATAATCCTCTTATCCTTAACTCTTGATGTACTACAAGCCCAGGGTAGAATACTGCTGTTACAATTCAAATTAGAGGAGGGGCAACCAAACCCCTAGAGAGTAAGGGTCAGTACACTTCCTTGGCACACAGATTCCATGCTCTGGTTTAGGCTATTAAACGCATAACAAGATGGCAGACACAAAGAGTATCGGGCTGCAGATACTCAACTCTGCTACTCCAAAAGCTGCTGAGAACTATTGGTGTATGAAGATTTGTAAAGTTTCTCCCTCTTCCCCCCACTGAAAGTTTATGTATATTCCCTCCCTTTGCAAGGCTATGAATTCTACCTTGCCATTTCCATCATGTACCTGTCTCCTGATCTGCAATGGGTGGTCCCTCCATTTCTGCCTCCGATTCCCCCTGGATCCCCGCGCTGTGGTGCTGGAGGGAATTCCCTTGGACACAGTGGCAGCTGCAGGAGCTACAGCGCACTGGACGTTCCTGGCCATGGACCCGCTGGTGTCTCTTGAGGTTGCCAAGGCTGCTGCAAGCGAAGGGGCAGGTGGGGCAGTGGTAGGGCTTCTCACCAGTGTGGGTTCGCAAATGGCGTGTCAGGTTAACCAGCTGAGCTGAGGCATACGGGCAATGCGGACAGCGGTAAGGTTTCTCGCCATTGTGAGTCTTCATGTGCCGCTTGAGGTGGCTGGAGTAGTGTGAGGCAAAGGGGCACAGTTGGCAGGAAAAGACTACACGCCCCTTAGGGGAGCCTTCCTCATCCCCTACTTCAGAGGGGCAGCAGGGAGTAGAACCAGGACTAGGCAGGCCACAATGCTGGCAAGCCCGGCCCGGCCCTTCATTCTCTCCATCTTCGTCCTGGGCCTGGCACAGAGACGGGAGATCCTCATCACTCAGCGTGTAAGCTGGCAGTCCAGGTGTCCCCCCGAGGGAGTCTGCAGCACACAAGGAGGGGACATCAGGTGGGCAGCTGTGGGAATCCTCACTTTGTCCTCTCCCTCGCCTGCTGGTACAATAGGGGGTTACCATGTGTAGGGGAGGCTAAACTCCAGGACCCTTTTCCTCATAACTAAAATCCTTGCCATCATTTACAAGCCTTTCTATTAGCTACAGGTCCCTCTCCTGGGGATGCTCCGCCTGGTGCTAAACACACCCAACTCTCCCACTCAGAAAATATGACACCCCAGACAGTACTGAACAGTAAGAAGATGGTGGAGAGACTTGTGCTGGCTTTGCATACTAGACCCGCTGACTAGATCCAGTTCCTGGCAACTCGAATGGGAGGATCCAAGAGGCCCTTTCTTTTCCTAGGCACAGCTCCCCGCCTCCCCCACCCCCCGCCAACCCACGCATCCCCGCCCCACCCCACCCCAACCCCCAATCTTACACCCCTTGCTCCGATTTGCCCAAGCGAGGACCCGAACCCACCTTCGGAGTCCTTTTCGAAGGCCAGAATCGGAGCACTGCTGTCCTCTTCGTCCTCCAGGGACAGGGACAGCTCCTGCTTTAAGAGGAAGCTGGCTTGCGGCGCCGGGCTCTCCTCTCTTGACGGCTCGGCCGGAGCACCAGGAACGTCCACTACAATAGACAGAGCAGAATGCGGTCGTGTGAGAATCGGGGTCCCCGTTTCACGCTCCGCAGAAACTGCTGGCGTCGCCCAGACACCCCAACGGCGTCGCCCTGCCTCTCCTTCGAAGGGGAGGGCGAATTAATTGCCCTAATTCTGCCCACGGCCAACCCATCGAACGAGGAAGGACTCCTCCCCTTGCCCAGCACAGCGGTCAGCTTGGACCAGGGCTCCGGGAGTCAATCGCCCAGGACACCCCAACAGGCCGGAGCCTCGGGGCAGGGAGAGAGAGAGAGACGTGCAGCCGAAGCCCCCGCCGCCCAGACACAAACGAGGCGGACGGAGATGCGGCACAGCGTCCCCAGGGTGAGCCCGGCAACCCGGCGCTGACCTTTGACGGGCTGCGGGTGGCGCTGCTTCCGGCGGGGCATCTTGCCCCGCAGCACGGGGGGTTGGGAGCGGCTCCAGCCCTGGATACCTTCCCCCCTCCGGGCCGCTCGGCCTGGATTGCCACCGGTGAAGCCGCTTCTTCCTCCGCGACGCCCCGACAGCCGCCGCTCCTCCGGCGCTCCCGCCCATCCGCGGGGCGGACGGCAGAATAGCCAACGCTTCCGGCTCCGGTCCCTCCCGTGCTGCATGACGGGACGTGGAGTCTTTTCCTCTGAACTACAAAGGGCGAGAAAGGCCGCAAGAAGCCTGACCCTCAGATTGGCTCTAATTACATCCATGCTTATAATCTTATCTTCCGAGATTTCTGCGAAGATGTGACAATAACTGCAGCTTAAATGGGCGTTCATTTAAAATTACTGTCTGCCATCATTGGATAGTGGTATCTTCCTGCTGCCCCATTTTTTCGAACAAGAATTTCAGCAAATCTGTAATGGAGTAGCCTGTCAAAATGTAGAAATAAAGAATTGATACATTAAAATCTTCCGGAAAAGTACTGTTTTATGAAGTTAATACTTTTTAAAATGAAGATATGGAACTGTATTCTTAATATAGCCTGAGGAATGCCTCTCAAACAAACAAAAATTTTAATGAACTCTTAATTGCCTGAACTGGCACAAGACAACTTTTAAAAATGTAAAGCAAGCATTATATTTATATTACTATTGAACATAAACAGTAAGCTGTAAAAGAGCAAATAGCTTTACTTTGCAACACTGTTGCAACTGCTACTTTTTAGCCAAGGTGGAGCGATTTATGGAAAACCAGTTTGGTGTAATGGTTAAGGGGCTGCCCTAGAAACCAGGATATGGTGAGTTCTAGTCCTGCCTTAGGCATGAAAAACCAGCTGGGTGACTTTGGGCCAGTCGCTGTCTTTCAGCCTAGCTCACCTCATTGTTAGGAAAAGAGGAAGAAGAAGAGGAAGAAATACTGGTGTATATATGCTGCCTTGAATTGCATATATTAAAAAGGTGGAATAAAAATTAAAAAAAAGATGAGGACAACAAGAATAGCCATTTCCCTTCTCTTCATCCCCTGAAATTCATGGAGTTTATTGCACGTAGCAATTTATAAATAGGCCTTTATAAATGCACTTATATTAGGACTGTGAGAACTGCAAAAATCTGGGTGACCTACAATAAATGGCAGCATAGAATAATTTACAATCTCTTTCTTGTCCTCTCATAGTGTGTGTGTGTTTGTGTGTGTTCCAGTTTTTCTATTCAGAATAACAAAATAACAATTGGAAGGGACCTTGGAGGTCTTCTAGTCCAACCCCCTGCTTAAGCAGGAAAACCTGTAACAAATTCAGATAAATGGTTGTCCAATCTCTTCTTTAAAACATCCAGTATTCCAATATCTCTTGATATTCCAACCCATACTCAACAAAAAAGCTAGAAAAAAGTGCTATGGATAAAATTCCTTCAAGGCTCCCATCTAGCTATGAGCTACACAGAGAAATAATAGCAATTCTTCTTAGTGTGTTTTCAGTTGCAAACATCTTCCCAAAAGCAGAGCTGAGAATGTCCTATATAAAACAATGGAAAGTTTAAGTAGAGTTATGCTTCATACATATACCTATGTATGCAAGTACATCTTAACCACATAGTCACAGAACACAGAACATAGAACATAACAGTCCTTCTGTTTATGGCAAGTAATATTCTGCTTGAAGATTCTGCTTTCAGATAGCAATAGCATTTAGACTTATATACTGCTTCAGAGTGCTTTAAGCGGTTTACAGTCAGCATATTGCCCTCAACAATCTGGATCTGTGTTAATTTAATAAAGCTACTGTGTTAGATAGATGATAGACAGACAGACAGACCATAGGTGTGTGTGTGTATATTTAGCTTTTATAAAATGAATGTTTATACAGATTAGAAGTCAAGCTAATGAGTTTTTACAAAACAAGACTTTTCCTCTCCAGATTGATTTTTAAAAGATAATGGTACATTGGTCACTTTCCAGTTCTTTGCTATATAAGGAATAAACAATTGATTATGTGCCATAAAGCCAGTGTTAACTCTTAGAAACTACCCAAAGGTGCTTTCCAAAAGGCAACTGGATTTTCTAGTTTTTTTTCTTGAAAAGTTTCACTTCTCACCCAAGAAGGTTTTTTTCCAGTTCTGAAGCTTCTTGAATGAGATGCAAAATGTTTTCAAGGAAAAAAACCAAGAAAGTGCAATTGCCTTTTGGAAAGCATCTTTGGAACAACCATGACCTGGATGATTGAGAATCTCCATAGACATTTAGCAACCATATAGATTAACATGGTCTTCCAAGAGTGCACCCATCATCATTGTAACTGAGTTCATCCACCTTGTTGCTAGTCAATCACAGTAAAATATTCTAGGTGAAACCCCAATTAAACAATCCAAATAATTAGTTTCATTCAGAGATAACTTTCTATCAGAACTGGTTATAGTAGGGTAGCATGGATGCAGTATTCTTTTAAAAATGAAATGGGAAAATTTACTTCTGTAGCTCATAAATAAAATAATGACTGCATTTGAAAAAGAAGACACAGGTAATTATTGTAAATAGTAATATCTGACTGCAGTATGGATTCTATAAATATTTAAGCAATTATACTAGGGCAAGAAATAATGTATTTTTAAACTAACCATTTCCCTTTTAAATACAATTTGGGGGTGGGGGAGTTTTCCGTATAACCCATGTTAGCCTAATAAGTATGGACTTTAAATTAAAGAGGAGCTCATGTAGAAACACGAGGGGTGGGCATGGAAATTCCAGATTGGTTAAACATGATTTTCAAATAAAAAATCCAAATTGTAAACAGAGGCAATAGCAGGAAGCCGAACAGAGACTGGAGATAAATAACGTGTCAGAGGCTAAATGTCTATGGTTATTCTCAATTATCCGGATCATAGTTATCCCAAAGATGTTTCCCTCCCCCCCACCCCACCCCCCAAAAATGTAACTAGACTTTCTTTCTTTTTCCTTTGAAAATGTTTTGCTTCTCATCCAACAACTGAAGAAGCTACTTGGATGAGAAAGGAAATGTTTTCAAAGAAAAACCAAGAAAGCCCAGTTGCTTTTTGGGAAGGAAAAGTACCTTTGGAATGGTAAGTAGAGGCTATTTTACTGAAGGGGAAAGCTGTTATATGGATAAAGAGGAACCAAATGGTCTTGGACATATTCCTGTGGGAAGGAAGATATTCAACACCAAACATAAAAGTTTTGAACAAGTTTAAAAAAAAAACAGAAAATGAATATACAGATCTGTAACATTTCTTCATGTATTATGTTTACAATGTAATTTGAGGTTTTCAAATGGTCTATGTCATTGTTTAAATATGTGTCTTGTTATATTTCCTAGTATTTATCCTGGATCTGGATGGTTGCAGGGTCCAATTGTTTTTCTAGGGGTTTAGCCCATGGCCCTCTATGCTGTTGAGCGAGCACCTTAACCACTGACTCTTTAGAAAGTTTATTAAACAAAAATAAAACACCTGTATTAACATTGTTTTATATCTTATAGCCATATGTAACACCAGAGGATCAGGGCTACCGTTTGGTTTCATATTCTGGAGAGTATATTGTACTGATGACTGTTGTTCTCATGCATAGATATTGATGGAATTATTGTGGGGGAGGGGAATAAATAAAACATAAAATGAGTACAGGGTTTTTGTTTTCAAACATGTGTTTTTTTGATATTTTTACCTTTTGCAAAGTCATGGCAATTACATATCCATACACAAAGGGTTTATGAAAATAATTAAAATAATGTGGAGGGAGGGATTAATCTGTCATTCAAACATTAAACAATACCCATGTATAATGGCAAACATAAGGTATGCAGGATTGAATAATTCTCGTATGCAAGAATTGCAGTCTATTAATTACTACATTACAAATTATTATACTACATCATATGATTTATAGTTTATATTAAAAGCTATGTGGATTGGATATTTCCAAGCAACGCTGTTGATGCATTATTGCCAGGCAACCACAGAAAAACTGAACTATTATAGACTCCCACAAGTTATTTTGGACCTGGACAGAATAAATGGGAATTTTCTGAAAGGGTTTGCAAAAAATACAAATGCTTTTTTTCCTACTGAGGCCAGGCTTTCAATCTTTTGTTTTGGCAAGAGTTAATTTGAGTTTTTCTTGACTAATTTGAAATGTATAGCGATTAAGAAGGCATAAATGTATAACAATTAAGAAGGCACATGCTGTTCTATTGTGGTGCATTTACCTTTAGGCATAAGGGAAGCCCCAATCGATGAACATAAGGGCAGATATGCTTTCAAGATAGAGCACCAAAAGCAATATAGAAAACCCCTGAAATTATCATAAATCCAGGAGAAATGGTCTAATCAAAGCTTTGCTACATTATGTAAATAGTATGAAGAATGCTATTGCTAAGTCTCTTAATTAAAAACAGTACAATTAATTAGTCTCTGCTACAAAACTCAAGAACGTTGTTATACATATTATTTTATACTTAAATCATTTTATTGCAGTGCAAACAAAATGAAGCATTTATATCTTAGAACATAAGCTTTATGCAACAGCTTGTAGTAAGGACTCTTATTGATTTATATAGTGATATCATTATATATCAAGTAACCAAAGGGGAATAGTATAGTAGACTATATTAACTATGTATAAGCCAATTAATTAATCAATTATGTATATTAATACCAATGTACAGTCACTAGCATATTGTGGATATATTATGTGAAGACCCAGCTCCCTTAAGAAATCCATAATGGTGCAAAAGGTGGAAGGAAAGAGAAGAAGAGAGTGACTCATAGCAAGCTGGCTGGATGCAATTGTAGCAGTGAGGATTACATTGTGGGAAGACATGAAAGGCCAAGTGGAGAACGTCTATCTATTAAGAGTCAATACTGATTTATCACTAATGCATAATGCCAGGGCAGATTTTTCAACTATTCTGATCCTGCAAAGACTGCATTTTTCTCTTCTTTTTCAATGGTTCTTTTCTCAAAGTATGTTGTTTACAGTAAAAACAGATGTGAATAATTTAATTTGTTTCTCTGTATTTTTTATCATGATGCTCAGAAAAAAGGCAATTGTCAATGAAACTACACATTCCTAAATACTTTAATCCTTCAATATTTATCTTATGTAAT